TATATTTTTAAAATAATAAAAAATATAAAAACTAAAAACTAAAATACTGAAAAATATTATCAAACAAAGTCTACGTGAGATTTCATTTTCATACCCCTTTTAAGATAATGGCAGAAAATGATGGCCACATTGCCACTACCAAATTACCTACCTCTAACAGTCCTATCAACCCTAACATTAAAAATATGATCCTAATCAAATTTGTTTTTTTAGCAATATGACTCTCATTGTTGACCCGCCTTTGTTTTTTAATTGACTAATTAGTCAACATAACCCTTTGTCTCTGCCCTGCAATTTCCTACTGTATGTACCTGTAAACATTTAACTTTTCTAAAAAAATTTAAAAAAAAATTTATAATTTGAATTGTCTTTATATCGTAAAACAGCATATTTCTTTAAAAAAATGAGATTATTTTCAGAAGAGATTTGATTCTCAAAAGTTGTTGCAGAAAAAGACCCACCCTTTTAACAGATATACTAAGAATTGTCATATTTGCCCCCTCTGGTAATATAGAGTGGAAAATAGGGAGAAATTCAGTGAAATTAGGATTTTAAGGCATAAAGTCTCTTTGCACCTAAAAATATTTCGTTAGATCTCTTATTCAAATTCCAAAATGTACTCCTATATACCATAGAACAATACAAGGTAGCTTTTATGTTGCAGTTCCCTGATGGGAAAATACCTGAGTATTTAATTAATTATATATCAAGCTAAATAAAAAAATACTCCTTATAAAACTATTATTATTATTAAAAAGGCAAGTGGACTACGTGGACATCTAATTTAAAATGTTAAGCCATATGATATTTAGGTTAATGAATTTTTTTTTAACTTTCGAGTGTTTCATTTAGATACGTATCTTTTCTGAACTAATGTTAAGAAAGTTATTCATTTAATAATAACAAGTAGCCATGAGTTTTATTTTTTATTTTTTAAGGAAAAATGATGAAGATATGGTTCCTGAAAACAAGGTCCAATGATTATGATGATCATTAATATTAGATTTTAGATCTTAAACAAATAGTTAATCAGATGAGATTCATAGATTATATATGTTTATGAAAATTATTCCTTTGGATTTAAAAAATGATCATAATGCATAAAATGAAACTACACCAATCAATTTTGTGAATTCAAAGAATTAAGAAAGAAAGAAAAAAAATTGAGAATGAGAGAGTAGGTGATCTTTGTGCACGCATATGATGAAAAAGCATGAAGGTTGCAGCAGCTAGCAAAGTATATAAAATAAATCTGTTGATTAAAAGAGCTTCTGTGCCGAATCAAATCTTGAAAGGGAGAAGGGAATATTACGAGCTCAAAGATTATGCTTTTCTTTGTTCTTCCGGTGCCAATGGGTTGCATTTTGATATCGCTCCAGCATTTCCTAAAGGGCTCCAGCATTTCCTAAAGGGAAATGTTTGGTACATCTTTGGGTTTAATTATTAAAAATATAATATAAATACAGTTAATTCAGTTAATTTTTGTATTTTGTGTGCATAATTGTATTATTATACTTATTTGTTTTTAATTTCAAACAAAAAAATAATGATTTTTTAATGACTAAATTAGAAGATGTTGAATCGAGTGTTGAAATATAGAGTGTACCAATCACTATCCTTTCTTAAAATATTCAGAACTCAAAAGCAACTTTTGGAGTGCTCTGTTTTTTTCCCCATTATCCCTTTTCTTGTAAACACCTTGAAATTTCTTTTTCACTTCTTTAGCTTACTTAGCTTCAACTACTAGAACCACTATATTACAAAAGCTAACAAACCTTTTATATATATATATATATATATATATATAAAAGGAGAAATATACTTACACACAAATCTTACATAACACACCATATTTATACAAAATTTTAACTATTTATTTTTTCATTTTC